ATGATTCTATCAGCCATTCATACTGCCCTTGAGGTGCATTAAGACATCTTAAGGGTGTATATCTTCTGGTTTGTGGGACTTGAATAACTCATTTGTTGAAAACTTGCCGAGGATAAAGATGATAATGGTTTGCAAGGTGCAAAGATGTTCCCCAGATTTTACCATGCAGGCGTATGTTTTCTTCTCCCGGTTGACTATTGATCGACAATTCAACATTCTACTAGGGAATTTATGAGTTGAGACTACAATTTTCCTCTTTCATATATCTAATTAATCTCCTTGAAATGTAAGAATATACAAAATAGGTCTTTATACATATTTTAATGTTAATGTTGATATTATTACTGTTATTTATGTGGTAAATAAATAGGAGTAATCCGTTACTGAATATTAAATATTAAACCGAATACATGTTTAGAAACTATGTAGTCAAATGCACTAAACAAAAGCATTGAACATTTACTAGAATGGATGATGTTCACTAACTTTATGCAAAAAGGAAGTGAATGATTCTACTGTTAGCTCCTGCTAGATATGTAATTATTTTTGCACTGCGTACCAGCGAGCTTTAGTGGCATGCTTGTTAATTGGATGGGTCTCATTGGGTAGTCGAAGTCTAATTTAGGTTTGCATTTCATTTCATTTTATGTTGGTAAATTATCCTTGTGAGTTCTTAGCTGTTGTCATGATGAGAGAAATGACCCTTCTTAGTCCTAAGTTCATTTTACTTTGTATCTTGTGCCATCTAAACAATGGTTTTCATAAAAACTCTGATGAGCTACTCCAGCGAATATCAATGAAGATTCTTGAGTCTATGGCTTTTCTTTGTCAATTGAGTTTGGAAATAGTGTTGTATAATCTGTTCATATGTATTGTGTGGCATCAAATTCATCCTCTCCTTGTGGAAGAATGTGTGCAAGGAGATACAGCTGATCCATAAACTGAAACGGTCGCCTTACCAGCCCATTGAATTCTTATTGTTATTGCCTTGCCCCAAATGGCACTCCTAATATCCTAAAAGCGTAGTCATTTTTACTTATCAACCCAAAACACGGAATATTTTTTTACTATATTTTCTAACTGTGTTGTCAAAGTTGGCGTTTGAGCCCTAAATGTAGCAAACTCTAAGGTGGTGAGTTTGTGAAAATGCCATTGACACATGCATCTTGGCAAAAGCAAACGGCAAACCAACCAACCAATGTTTTGTTTGAGAACACATAAATTTTTGAAGTTACATGAGTTCTGAATTGGTAAATAATATATAGCCAAAACAAAGCGTTCTATTAATCCTTAAGAAATGCCAGAAATTAATAAGAGTCTGCCAAGTCCATGATTTTGCAGATGCTAAACTTTTTTTTTTTCTTTTTGAGAAACGAATGCTAAACTTACTTTTATTAGTACCTGGCTGGTTTATGTACCTTTCTGTGAGGAATTAATATGTGATTTTTCTATGAGGATTTAAGACCAATTGCGTTTGGCAATCATCTCCACGTTTGTCCATTTTGTCATAGGCTCCGAACTTTATGTCTTCATCAACCGTCGTGGACTGGATCAGCATGTTGTTCCTGTGTGATTCCTTCCAATCGTGGAGATGAACAGAAATCGTCTCCATGTTTTGCCCTTTTGCATATTTTTCAATTCTCTGATTTTTCAGCTTTTTGCTCTAAACTTGGTCTTCCTTCAAATTTTTTGATACATTTATTCCTTTGTTTCCTTTTTAGTTCATAGACCTGAGAGTAAGACCAACAAAATAAGTGCTAGACCTTTACTTATAGAGAGGCTACAATTCAAGTAATAGACATTAGTTCCCAACTTATCAACTTCCTCAAGCTTAAACTTTTGCTTATACTTAATCATCAAACAAAACAAAATAACGAGAATATTTTACACATTAAGCACTCAAGTTTCTTATGAGTTCGGTTGCTATCAACAATTTACATCAAATCACTCGCATTCTCAAGACTCAACAAGTCTTTTTTGTACCTTTCCTCAACTAGGTGGACTATTCCAAAATTCGACCCTCAGATCTGACCCAGACTTTCACCTCGAAATATATTTTTCAAAAAACAATTTTTTTAAAAATAAAAATTGACGAGGGGGTGGGGGTGGGGGTTGTGGGAAGGGGGTGGCGTAAAAAATGATTTTTTTCTTAAATTTTTTTTGATGGAGATGGCCTAGGTGGGGGTGGCGGGGGCGGGGTAGGGGTGGGGTAAAAAATGTTTTTTTTTTAAAATTTGAATATTCCAAAAACATTTTCTTTAAAATAAAAAATCTGACGGGGTGGACTGGGTGGGGGCAACAATGGCGGAAGATGGCGTAAAAAATGATTTTTTTAAAATCTTTTTTGAAATATTGATAGTAAAGAGGCTCCTGGGTTTTGGAAATCTACCCCCAAACTCAAGGGAATTTTTGATGCCAACAAGAGACACATTGGCAACATCAAAATTGGGTGGTACTACTACTACAACGTCGATGATGGTAGAGACAAGTCATCATCCAGATTGAGAAAGAGTGAATGGCAGATTAGAGAATATTATCTCGCACCTACATATCTGCCCCAAAGCAAAGTTGAGAGGAAAAATGTCTTATTAACCATGATGATCAAGACCAAAGCTGCTAATAATAATATAATGACAAATCTGATGACAAGATGCAGATTGTTCTCGACAAGCAGGAGATTATGCAATCTTTACAACGCCTTCAACTTTAGTGATTGAACAACAGATTAGAGCCAGTTTACTTTTTTGTTTATGTTTAAAAACATTACTCATCTATATTATCAGGTTCTAACTGCTGTTTTTTTCTAAATTTCCTTTATTTGATAGTCTGATATAAGTTTTATTCTACTTACAACTTGTGTGTGAAAGTAAGTAAGGTTTCTTAGTCTTTTGTGTATCTGGGCTGGTCTAATTGATGCCTTGTCATGAACATCTTACTTCATATATAAAATGTTTTATTCTGGTTTCTCAAACTCTTACGCGATTTAGCTAGTTTAGAATTTGAAAACACAGAATTTGGGAGCTTAACGGTATGTACCAAAAGCTGGTAGGATTAATATTTTCTGTTTGGATTTACTAACTCAAGGAGTTAAGACTATCAGTTGCTTGCAAAATATGGTTCACCATTGTGTCTGGAGATGAGTTGCCAGTCTAATGGTGAGAGTGGGAAAGTTTCATCGCCTCGTGACATGAGTATTTTGGTGTATCCACAAGCTTCAGCGAGTTACAGAGTAGTGTGGTGTACCCACAAGCTGTACTTACAACTGATGGATGCATGTCAATGAACAGGGTAAAATGCGTGGTCCTTACATTAATGGTTTCGTCCTCTGATGCAAATGGACCGACGAATATGTACACGGGAGTTACCAAAGATTCAGGAGGAAATTGAGCCGACTTGCCAACAATTTCCCCCTATTGTAACTCAGGGGCTGAACATGGAACTCATTCCTTGAACCAGCAGATGGAGACTGCTGGCATTGCCGGAACACTTGCTCCGTCTACGTCTTTGGTGTTATTCTTTTAGTTACTTGTTTCTTCAAGCTGTCATGTGCAACTTTATCTCCTAAAAAAGTGTCCTGTTCTTGTTCCTGCATGGGCTGGTCAGATCTCGATTGTTCTTTTTGTCATTTTCTCCCTTCCATCTTGTGTCAACTTGGCCTTATTTAACCTGTAGTTTCTTCTCATTTTATCTGCAGAATTATTTTCCCACACATCTTCCAATACTCTAAACTTTGCTATTTTGAATTTGGCAAAGTTTTCCTTTGTTGTTTGTGCTTGTTGCTGGGTTATGGTCTTTGTCAAAACTTGGAAGGTCTGGTCTATCCACAAACTATTTGTGTATTGTACTTTCATATTAATCGTTCCACACTGCACTCTCCGAACCGAACCCAAACTTAACTTAGCAATTCTTCACATCAGTTTAACTTTATTTTCCCTTTTTGAATTATCTCATGAGTTTCAACTCGCTTCCCTTTATTTTTCTAGTATCATATAGCTTAACTACTAATGTAGGTTCTAATTATCAACAAGTTCAAAGTCAGAGAGTTCAATCATTTGCAAACATAGTGATAATATCCGGAGAACTCTACTCTCTAAGTTGTTGCTTTTAATTTTTACTTAGGTTTCTGAACTAATTGTTTCAGTGTTAGTTAGTGCTTCTACTTGATTTTTTGGGTACATTTGCTTTTTAACATTTCATGTTTATGTTAAAAGGTATGTTTTTTTGTTGACAATCCTCTCAAAATTATTCTTGATAAATGATTTTCAGATTTATTGGATGGTTCTGATTGAAACCTGGAAGGTTTTAATTATTTTTTCGGTAAGTGAGATGGGCATTCTCATTAACACACTGTAGCGCATGTCGCATGATGCTCTTTAAAGAGGTGTAGGAACGCCTGTGTCCTGTTGACGTAGACTCTTCAAGTAGTCAAAGTTTGTTGTGATTGTTGCTTGCTTTAGATCGTCTGGAATAGTTTTAATTTTTAGCAGTAAGAGTTTAGGTTTTGAATTGGTTAATAAAGCCTTACCCACTGTTTGCATTTGCAGTTAACGATGCTTTGTCGGGAAACTGAGAGCAGGAGGGGGAAATGCTTGCTATTTTTTTCTTCTGAATTTATTGATTAGTGTCTTTTAGATTCCTTTTTATTTATTTATGAGTTCCATATCTACGGATTATTTTTTTCTAGTGAAAGAGGGTAAGGTAATTAGTTGAAACTTGAAGCTTCTAATTTATGTCATTATCGGGGAGAGAAGTAAAGCCTAACCATTTTTAATGCCATCTGCTGTCCTTATTTTTTGCAATAGAAGTTCTAGTGATTCAGTTAGGACAACAATATTTTATCAAGCAATACAAATATGCTGGACTGGCCATGATATTGGAACTTCAATCGAATCTCTTATTCTTAGTCCAAGTCTTTGCTATGTTTTCTCTCTGCTCTGCCATATTTATTACGGACCATTTGGTTGTGATTCCTGTGGGATCCTTACATTTACCTGATGCAGGGATGAATCACTGCTCTGCCAAGGGCTAGGGCTGAATGATGAGTTGCAGCGTGTATTGGCCAAGCATGAATCTATTGCTTCTGGAACTTCTGTTCAAGTGGAAAAACCAAAATCTGAACCACCTCAACCTCTTGTAAATGTTGATGCTCCGCTTATTGATGCCGGAGACTGCAAACAATCAGACCAAGGGTAAATAACTATTATCTGTGTCTTCTCTTATTTGACCTCTGTATACAACCCCCCTCCAAATATGTTTTGATTCTTGGTTTCTTTTTGAGCGAGCTCATAGCTTAAATAGTACATGTGGATTTTCTAGATTGAAATGTTAATTGCCTAAAATGAGTGACCTTAAAATTATTGTCAACTAGATTAGGATGTTATCAAGGTTCAAAGTCCTTTGGTACTACAAGATTGATGGAAATATGTGACTTTTTTCTTTGTGATGCAGAATTTTCCTAGTCAGTGCTAGGTGATTGTACTTCAAATAAGCTATCCCTTCCCCTTCCCCTTCCCCCATAGAAAAGGGGAAATATGTTAGAAATCCTGGGTATTCTGTTTCTTTTTTGAGTCGTCAAATGTGACACTATCTTTTCATATAAATCGCTTGGTGTGTTTTTCAGATCTACATCAAATGCTAGCCTAGGGACACAGTTGCTTCTTCCTGGTCCTCCTTCAGCTAGCATTCCATCAACAACAACAAAAGTTGACCCGAAAATTGATCTTCTGAGTGGAGATGACTTCAGCTCACCTACAACTGAGAATGTCCCGACCCTTGTTCCTGTTGGTGGAGAACCTGAGCCTGCAAGTCCTGTTTCACAGCAGAATGCCCTGCTCTTGTTGACATGTTTTCATCACCCAGCAACTCACAATCTCCATATTCAGCTGGACAGACAAATGCTTCGTCCCCTCAATATCGACAACAGAGTTTCACTTCTACCTAGTCAGCTTTGTACACAAATGGAAGTGTCCCCGGAACTACATATACACAAGGCTCTAACACGGCCTGGAACGAACAGATATCAGCAGTCACCTTCTCCAGTTTATGGTGCGTTCCTTTGTCATTCTGCATGCATTCTGGTTTATATCAACAACAACAACAACAAAAAATCTGCACGCATTCTGTTTTACTTTGAAGTTCTATAGAAATGTGTACTCTGTTCGCTATAGGTCGAATTTGTCCTCATTATTATTCTCTATTACCCCAAAAGACCGGGCAACCATTAGATATGTTAGTGAAGAGTTAAACAGGGATATGCTGAAGTATAGCGTGTGTTTGAAGTTGGTATGCCTCATGTGTAAAACCAAATTTCTGTACAGGTCTTATGTATTGCCTGAATTTTACGACCTCTTGCTCATTGAGTTTCTGAATTATTACTCACATAGTGCTTGTCTAATTTCTGATTAGGTGGTCAAAGCAGTTCTTTTCCACCACCTCCATGGGAAGCTGAGGCAGCAGAGAACAGCCAAACAGTGGGGAATCCTCATGCTCAATCGATGCAAAATAATCAGTTGTTGCCAGGTAGTCCACATGCCCTACCAATGCACAACAATCAGTTAATGTCTGGTAGTCCAAATGCTTTATCAATGCAAAATAGCCAGCTGATGGCAGCTAACAACCAGCAATTGGCTGGTGGTTCACATGTCCATGGTATGTATGCACAACCGATCACTGGTGGACAACCTGCAATGATGAACCAGGCCATGCAAAACAATCAGATGGTAGGCTTCCTTCCTCAACCAATCCAAGGTGGACAATCAATGGGTATGCTTCCACAACAAATGCCACCTGGGCACATGGCTTATGTGTATGCCCAACAACAAATGTATGGCAACCAGATGGCTGGTTATGGCTATGGCTATGCCCAACCACAGAACACACAATTTCTTAATCAGAGAATGTCTGGGCTCTCCGTGAGGGATGATGGTATCCTAAATAATTCGTCCTATCCAGTTTCAACTCCTTCGTACATACCATCTGGAAAGCCCTCAAAACCAGAGGATAAACTATTTGGAGATCTTGTTGACATTTCAAAGTTCAAATCACCCAAAACAACTCCTGGCAGAGCTGGGAGCATGTGACAGTGACTGGTTTCTGCACCTTCCTTTTTTCTTCAATATTATTCTACATCTATTTAGTAATCAAGCTTGTGTTTGTTCTGATTTTTCCCTCAACGCTTAATTTTCACACATTGTTCCTTTTAGTCCATATGCATTTAATGGTTCTTTGTAGTTTGTGTATATTTCTTGTAGAGAGTAAAACCCCAAGATCACAAAGAAAGTTGAGGAGCTTCCTTTTTTGCCAGCTTGAATATGTATAGAATGTCTTCATTTGTGTTTTTTGTGCTGCTTGGTGCTGTTATAACTTGTCATGCAGTTATTGGTGCTTTTACCTGGAAGTTTTTACAAGCGATATGAAACTCCTGTACTGGTAAGAGCTTTATGGCTCAGTAGGGAAATATTACATCAATGCCTCACCTGAAAGAACTGTAATAGTAAGATAATCCATTGTTTGCTGAGCTACAACGGGGATGTTAAGTTTGATAGTGTCTTTGCTGTTTCATGTTTTGGTATTTGTTTCTATTTACTCGATTCCTTTGCTTTAAATAGTACGAAGATATTATACTGCAGTGTGTAAACTGGTTGGTCGACACTTCATGCTTCTAAAGTGAGATATCAGCAGGTGGTTCTATGATTGTATTAGCCATTCATACTGCCCTTGAGGTGCATTAAGACATCTTAAGGGTGTATATCTTCTGGTTTGTGGGACTTGAATAACTCATTTGTCGAAAACTTGCTGAGGATAAAGATGATAATGGTTTGCAGGTGCACAGATGTTCCCCAGATTTTACCATGCAGGCGTATGTTTTCTTCTCCCAGTTGACTATTGATCAACAATTCGACATTATACTTTTATGAGTCGAGACTGTAATTTTCCTCTTTCATATATCTAATTCAGTCGGTTTCTATACATGTATTCAGTTTTCTCTTTAATATTCAGTAACGGATTACTCCTATTTATTTACCCCATAGATAACAGTAGTCAACTGAATACATGTATAGAAAGTAGAAACCGACAATGTAGTCAACTGTACTAACAAAAGCATTGAACATTTCATAGTAACTTGTCTGTGCAAACTGAAGTCATATGATTTACATTAGACATAAGATTAAAAAAAATGATTATCAAGAATTTCATTAGGCATGAGATAGATAAATTAAAAATAGTTCCGTTGCCGGGACTTGTACCCGGGTCTCTCGAGTGAGAGCCGAGTGTCCTAACCAACTAGATGACATTATACTAAGTTGAAGTAAAGATATATATACGATAAATAACAGTATTTACTCTATCAAAACATGAGTCCCTACTCCTCCTCTTCTTTTGTAAAAGATGTACGCATTTGATGTTATATCTAAACTAGAGAATTTGTCCGTGCAGATTTTGCAGATTTTTGATAGTAGATTTCTTCTTAAATATTTTAAATTTTAATCAATTATATTATTAGTACATTTTCTATGATTTTTCAGCACTTAAAAATTCAGAGCCTTTCTACAAAACTTGTATAATGTATATCTATATAAGTGAAATGATATTTTTATTTTTGTTAAAAGAATGTGAAGAAAGGATAGAAGTTCAAGAAAAATCAAATTCCTTCTTCAAGTATATGTAGTACTAAATTTTAAAACATGAATATTTCTTTTTAATATTTTAACTTAGTATCCTCAAATACTTTCCGACATAATCACTCATTATCTTTTTTAAAATGTCCAACCTTTTTTTCATCTTCTAACTTCCCAATAATAAAGATAAATAACTAAAACATATTTTCAAAGTCTCAACATAAAATGCAAGAAAAGCTATTACAGAAATCATGCATAAAAACATGTTATAAAAGATGAAGAAGAATAAACATTATTACCCATTAATTATCCCATTTAATTTGTGAATATGAAAGTAATTAATATAGTCAGGAATAGGAAAAACAAATCATTAGTAGAGTATTACTAAAAAAAACAGTAAAACATTATAAATTAATTTTTTTAATATTAGAATCGCAATAGAGAATTTTATAAAACGGCTCTTACACATATAAATGATTAAAAGTAATCATATTTCTGATGGGCAATGCAACTCTAGGTGCAATCCATTTATAAAATGAACTTTTGAGGTTTGATAAAGAGAAATCATGTAAGAACTAAAATAAATAAAAAATAAATAATTGTATTATTCTTATGTTCTTAATTATTAAAATATTTTAGAAAATGAAATCAATATACAATTTTTTAGCTTTTGTTGATATCCATTTTCACAAGCCATAGCCATCATTTAATAGCCTTCATCTTATTCTTTCAAGTCAATCCAAAGAATCAAACATAATAAGCATTGAAAACATGAAAACTTAAAATGCTAATGTCCTCATTTCAATAAAGTTTTACAATTTCTCAGTTTATACTATTACAATACAGAATACCAAATAGTATTATGAATATGACTATTAATTATTTGAGCAAAAAAGATTATCCTAAAGGTGCAATAATGGGGTAATGAGAAAAGACCAAAAAAAAGGGAAAAAAGACAATAACCAATATGAGTTGTGGTGCACTGGTGGGAGTGCTTCATCCTTAATCAGGGGTCTCGGGTTCGAGCCTGGGTATGAAGAAATTCATGTTGTGAGTGCCATCCCCGAATGGGCCCTGCATAGCGTGATCCGAATTTAGTCAAAATCAAAAAAAGAAGAAGAAGAGAAAAGACGATGAATTTCTTCATTTAGTAAAGAAAAAAGACATTGAAAATGAAAGGTTTTTAAAACTGAAACTTAATTGAGTTATTATTCAATTTTTAAATGGCTAATCTCTTCAATTGAGTAATGACTTTGATTAGAACGGTTGCAACAGAGGAAAATCGTTTATTTTTATCTTTAGACATGAATACACATTATATTGAATTACAAATTAAAATTTATTTAATAGAAACAATGAGGAATTAAAGCTAATTTTTTTAGAAAAAAAAAAAAAGCAAAAAAGATATATATGAATAGTAGCTATAGAGATGTGTCATATCACCTTTTTACTATCTAGTTTTGTATTATACATAGATATAGATAGATTGTAAAGAAATTAAATAATAAAGAGAGAAATACTTCCTGAAAATTAGAGAGGTGTGAGCTATAGATAGTTACTCTTTGTTAATTGGCATATGAAGAGTTTTTATTGTAATTGTTCCTCTATTAATAAAACATTTATTTACAATAAATTAATTAATTTACCTTTACAATAAAATCATTGATTTAAATAAGAAAAAAAGTCAAAAAAAAAAAGAAAAAAATAAATATGAATGGAGACCATAGAGAGGTGCCACATCATCTTTTCTATGTTTCTCATATATATATATACTAGACATAGGACCCCGTGCCAGCACGGGGCCCAATATATATTTTGTATTTATTTTAATTTACGTCATATTATGGAATTTGAGAAGTTATTGAAATTTTTATATGATTTTAATAATATTTTAAATTGTTAGCTATTGTGATTTGTAGTACTTTTTTTTAACATAATTTTGAAAATAATAGTTATTACTCTCTTTGTTCTAATTTATGTGGCACATGCAAAATTTCAAATATTAACCCTTTTTTATATGTCTCTTTAATATATTAAGTTGTTAATTATTGTATTTTATAGTACATTTTGAACTTAATTTTGAAATAATATATGTTATTTCCCATGTCCCAATTTATGTGGCATTAATTG